AATTCAGATTTTTTTGTTGCATTTTTACTTTAAAAAACAGTCTGAGACTCAGAGTCAAGATGTAAAAGCTGAAGTCCGGATGGTCGAGGATCAGAATGAAGGGAATGAAAACCTGCAGACACCAAACAAAGATCTGAAGACCAACAATGCTGAGGTTAAACTCTTAAACTCTTTGCTTTAATACTTTAGTCTTTAAATCTTAAATGTTATCAATTTTAAATTCTTTTTTATTTTTAATTTAAAACCTAACGGTAACACTGCTAAATTATGGAACAGAATAACAAACGATAATGCAACTCTATATTGCTCATATCACCAAACAATCATGCTGCTGGCTCACATACACTGACACTGACTTTCAGCTGCAGCTGTCAAAGTCAGATGATTTAAAGAAGACCAAACCTGAACCAGAGAAGCAGAGTGTGGAGATCAGTACACCAAAGGAGGAGGTGTGTTTGCCGTCAGACAGCTTTGCATGCACAAAACCAGCTCAGATGTTTCCCCAGTTATTATCTAGTCTATGCTCAGGTCTTGGCTAACCCAAATGAGTGGACTATTAATCCTCTCACCTGTGCTTTTGTCTGTTAGTTGGAGAAAAATGAAGTAATGACACCTGACATGCTTAAGAAAAAGCAGAAGACTTCTTCACTGAAGCTCGACCTTGCTGTCACCAGGAGGAATAAAGTACGCAACATCCCCTCTTACAGCTCACATGAACACAATTAATTTTATAACTTTATTTATATTACACCAAATCATGACATCTTCCACCTTGTGGTGGTTTTTTTAAGGAACCACACTTGAATGTCATTAGATAAATTAAACAGTTACCCCTTCAGTGAGCACTCGGTGATGTTTAGAAGGAAAGGGGAAAATCAAGGGGAAAAAAATCCTGCTTCAAGTCTTTTGATCGATCTATATGATTGTGACTCATTTCAAACACTTTTCTTTTTTCAGCTGGAAGACACAGTTGATCAGTTTTTCAGTGGTAAAAATCAGTCAATGGAAAACGAGCTGGATAACCTGAAGAGGACGCTGCACGCCAGAGAAAAAGAGGTTGATTTCTTCACTTCACTTTTTTATAAATTGGCATTTATCCTTTTATATTTAGTTTATATGAGGTTTATTTTCAGATATATCCAATTTCAGATATCTATGTTTAATCTGATATCAACTATGAAAAATGTGTCCCCTGCACAGACTTATGCTTCATTTGGCTATTCAAACTTTGTAAAGTTACAGTCATCATTGCTGATGACTACAAGCTTGAGGCCAAGCATAAGCTATGGTGCTAACTTAACCGTGTTTGTGTTTGTTAGCTGGAGAGATTTAAATGGCTGAGAAATTACCTCATTTATGAAATCCCTGAGTCTTTTTCACAACTGAAGTTTAAGCTCGCCATCAGCAGGGTGCAGAAGGTAAACACACACAAACATACACTCTTCTGTAACACATGCACACATAATGTCAGGGCTGTTTGATTCACATGACTCTTATATAATATACCAA